TCTAAAATTTGTGTTTTGTTCCATCCATATGTTGATCCTTGTGCCAATACCACACTTATCTTTTCCTTTCAATTTTTTAATTGAATTTATTGGGATGACATTGATTAATAAAATTATAGCCCGGCTGGAGTAGCTCAGTTGGTTGAACGTTGTCCATGCACCAAAAGGTTGCCAGTTCACATAACCTGGGTTTGACCTCCAGTCCGGTAGCATGTGGAAAGCAACCAGCGATGTTTCCCTTTCCCATCAATGTTTTTCTCTCTCCTTTCTCTTTCTCTCCCTCTCTCCCCCTCTTTGTATCTCTCCCCCTTTCTTCCTCTTTCCCTTCCTCTAAGCATGTCCTCGGGTAAGGATTAAAAAAAAAATTTTTTTTTGTATTTCCTACATATAAAACCATGTCATAGATAAATACTATTCTTAATTTTTAATCTATTCTTCCTATGATTCCATAATATATTTTAAAATGGTTTTAGTATATGTTTTATTCCTTTAAGGTATCAGAGCCTATTGAAAATATAGAAAAAAATAATCATTTATAATCTTATTGTTCAGTTATCATCAGTTAAAATCTGTGTTGATCTCTGTGGACATTCTAGATAGTTTATAGCATTGGCTCATAAAGGACATACAATTTTTAAAATGTTATTCCCATTTAATATGAGGACATTAACATAAATTTCTTAGATGAAATCCCTAGAAGTAGGCTTTCTGGGTTGAAATGTATAGGCTTTTGAAACTTACTTGTTGAATTGCCTTCTAGAAATGCTGTTTAAATTCTCATTCATTCATACCAGAAGCACTATACTAAAGTTCCTATTTCCAAATACTTTGTTGAGATTCACACCTTACCTATATGATTTTTTTTTTTTCCCATGTGAGTTGAAAATAAAACCTATAGCTTTTTTTGAAATTGTGATTTCATGAAAATGTTCTACGTTTCTTTGGATATCAATTGTCTAATATTTGTCTTCCATTCCTTATACGTTTGTCTTAAAACTGCAGGATTTTCAAATTAGAAGATCTAATACCCTCCACTGTTACAGAGGAGGAGATGAGCCTGGAAGGTTCAGTGATTTGTCCGTTGCCGACCTGCTGACCCCTTTGCAGTTTTGTTTCTTTGTTGATACAAAGAATATGATACAGTTTGATCATATTTTCTCTGAAAGGACACTCTATTTTCAAGACTTTAAAATACAATTATTTTGTTATTTTCATAGACCAAGGCCCATTATCTAATAACATAATTATAATACAGCCTATATTTATCAAGTTCCTGTCTCTCCTGACATATAAACCTTCTATCATTTTTTTTTTTTTAAGTCATCAAGGATTTCTGTATAGCAGGCAAATGGTAGTACAGTCAGATTTCTAGGCTCCTTCTCTGTGAAAAACTTTCTTGGCCTCCCCAGACACAATTTAATTTGAAAACACAAATTTTAGTTGCATACTTCATTTGTCCTGCACAAAGATGAATAAAATACAATTTCTGTTCTCATAGATATTCATCCCATGGGGTTCCTATGGCACATGCCTCTTTTCTATGATAGTCTTAGCACTTTCACACTATAATTTATTCAGAATTCTTTCCACTTATTAGATTATGACTTTATTTCTTTATATTTCTGTCCAGAATCTAGCACAACAATGTCTGACATATCTAAGGACTTTCATGGACATATCACTTAACCTCTTGAATCCTCAGTTTCTCTGTCTGTGTCATGAAGATAAATATATGCCTCATAGCGTTACTGTTTCAAACTCAAGTTGTAGATATAAAGAATTTAACTTGGTGATGGGCAGATAATAAGCCATCAGTAATTGGCAGCTCTTATTCCTATTGGAAGTCTAAAGATCCTGAAATCGTATTATTATAAGTATATGGCTATGCATTGGTCTTCTATTCCATTCCTTGTGGGTTGACAGTTACTTGTGCTTTTCAGTGGATTTTAAGGTTAATTCAACTTGTAATTAAAGGGATTTATAATTGTAAGTGGCAGAAGGACAAATTAAAATATTTCTGGATTAGTAAGATCTTAAAGCTTAGATGGCCTTTTTATGTCCTCTATTTCTTTTCTTTTTCTTCCTCTTTCCTTTTCCTAGGTCTCAGCCAGCACACTGGTGTTTCTATGTGTTTGTATGACGATTTGCCATTAATATTTTCTCTCACTTTCGACATCTCTAGGAAGAGAGGCAGTAGAAACCACCACTCTGTCTCATTGCTACAGTTTAACTTAAAGATGTGAAAAGTCACCCCCCCCCAAACACACACACACCCCCCTCAGGAATGAATGTGATAGTAACTTGAAATTCTCTTTGGAAAGTCTACATCCTTAGTGTAACAGTTTTAAAACAATTTTTTTAAAGCTGTCATTGTACTCTGATTTTGTTTTCCACTCATGAGCACACCCTTCCCATCATCCTGCCACCTTCTCCCCATGGTCGGTGTTTGGCTCAGCTGATCAATGGAAGGGTATTTGTTGTACAAACTTTTGTATATAGTAAGTTAACCAAATAATTGCTCTTTCTTCTTAATTCCTGTTACAACTCTTAATTAAGGTTCTAACAATGCAGTTTATCACAAGTGAACTATGAGAAAGTCTCTTTTACACAAGTACTGTGAAAATATAGCTTGCCCCTTCGTAAATTGGTGTTCCGGTATGCTTTGTTAGACTACAATTTTAGAAATTTGTACCTTAAAAAAAAATTTGATGCCTTGGCTGGTGTGTCTCAGTTGATTGGGCTTTGTCCTATGTACCAAAAGGCTGCCGGTTTGATTCCAGGTCAGGGCACATGCCCGGGTTGTGGGCTCGATCCCCAATAGGAGGTGCACAGGAGGCAGCTGGTAGATGCTTTCACATCAATGTTTCTCTCTCTCTCTTCCTCTCTCTCTAAAAATAAAAAATATATTAAAAAAATACTTTGCTCTGGGATATCATTGGATAGTCAAAAGAATTATCTGCATGTACCTTAAATATTGGGATGAGGATAATTTTGTATGGTAATTGATATTAAAGGTGTCTGGTCAATTTATTTATTTTTTATACTTTATACACAAGACAAACTTTTTAAACATTTTCATACAAAGATAAAACATATACTGTCCTTAAATCATTAGTTCTTTAATTTTTTTTTTACTTCGAATATCATGGTTCATGCCCCTTTTGTGTGGTGAATATTTGGAACTTTAATATAGAAAAGGTGGTGATTCGTTACTAATTCCACGGTAACTGGAATGAAGCTAGGTAGAACGCATATTTACACTTCACTATAAATCAGTAGGCTTGTAATATTATCAAAAGTTTTCCTTGTTCTTTTAAAACAGCAACATTTTGGTAACCTTAATCAGAGCCTGATGCCTGTTTCTTCTAAATGGCGTCTGATGTGGTGTCTCTCTTAGGTTCTCTGTGGTTTCCTGTTTTTTTCATACATAGAGAAAAACCTTTTGATGTCTTCAGCCTCATATTTTTTTTTCTTTTAATGGTATATCAAACCTAAACTTTCATGTAACTACAGCTTAGTATTGTAAGCCTAGCTCACCATTCATTTATTCATCTTGCCACAGACCACTCCTTCTCTGGAATTCCTCCAGCTTTCCTTAAATATTCTGCCTCGATCGATATTCCTTAGCATTACAGTCTTATTTTACCCTGAACATGTGCTCTTCGGGGGTGGGGTGATACTTTGTATTTCCATATTAGATTTCTGCACAGAAATATACCTTGCCTTAGCAATTAATACTCACAGTAATCAGTGACTCTGAGAGTGCTGTCCCCAGACCAGCAGCATCAGAGTCTTTTGGGAACTTGTGAGAACTGGAAGTTCTCAGGCCCCATCCCAGCAGAGTATCTTGATTTGAGGATCAGCAATTTCTATATTAACAATCACTTCAGTGATTCTAATGCACGATCAAGTTGGACAACCACAGCAGTAGATAATTATTGAATTAATATGAAAGTTGTGCATTTATGGTGATGCTGTGAAGATTGGTTTAGGATGGGACCAATTTAGTCTTCTGCCAGAGTCTTATTTCTCAAGAGATACTGGTAAAGAAAAGCCTAAGATTTCAATAAATGCAATCTTATAAGAGGGTCTATATAGCTCTTATACTGTCTTATTGTGAAAACCGCAGTTTTAAAATGTTAAAAATATGAATGATTTCTTTCTTCCACCTATTTAGGAGTAGGCATTTAACATCCCAAAAGGAGGAATATTAAGGAATGAATAATGAGTGTTACTTATTTTCTTGGTGGGGAGGAGGTGGTGAATGTTGGAAACTGGTCAGGTAGGAGATAGGTCGGAGACTTTTCCCTGGATACCCTTTTGTGCTGTTCTGAATGTTTGAACCATGTAAATGCATTACCTAATAAAATTTTTGATGCATGATATTTAATATAAACAAATTAGTAAGTGTTTAATAAATAAAATTTTATGTGATAGACACTGTATGTGGTTGGTTAAAAATATTTCCCTTTGTTTTAATATGAAAGGTTAGATAACATGTGCTTTTCATCTCTGCAGAAAACATTAGGGTGGTGGCTGAAATGTCTTAATGACTTTCCACCTGATCTTTCTCAAGATGGTAGATAAATTGTGCAGCAAACAAAGGATTCTATTATATGAACCCATAGTCTTATAATTATTTCAAGAATATAAATAGAGGGAGAGAATTTAATTTGATTCTAAGTTAAATAATCTTGTATATACAAAGAGGTCAGGAATTTGACCTAATACCTTTTTTCACATGTATTTTAGAAATATCTTGATAGCCAAGGACTGTTTGAGAGAAAAATCGATTTAGATTTTTTTGTCATACTCTTAGTAAATGGCACATAATCCATTTAGCAAGCCCCTTACTTGTATTTTGAAATATGAACAATATTGTCAACATTTTGTCTTTTAGTACAACTGCATTTATAGTAATGTTTTCATGGAATTGTGTTGTTTCACTGGATTCAATTACTTTTTTTGTTGTTGTTTGTTTGTTTGTTTTCTTTTCACAGAACTATAGTGCCATGGAAAGTATTCAGACAGTGCCTTCACGAGGTCCATCAGATTAGCTCTGGCCTAGAAGCAATGGCTCTAAAATCAACAATTGATTTAACGTGTAATGATTATATTTCGGTTTTTGAATTTGATATTTTTACGAGGCTATTTCAGGTAAGTTTCCATTTGCTTCGTCCTTTCCTCCCTGGGTGTGCATGCAGTGTGCATGTGCATTTGTCTGCACACATGTGTATATCTCTCCCCCACATGCAAACATATTGGATATAGTTTTGGTAGTCTATCATTTTAAAGCCAGTCATTGATATAAGTTTTGGTCATTGATATAAGTTTAGAGTTTGTTTGGGTTATCAATGGGCTGTGAGCCTAATGGTTGCTTATTAGCTTTGAGAAGATTCATGCAAAGGAACTTTGTTTTAAATTCCTTATTTAGTTTCTCATTTTACTTTGTTAGTCTTTTTGGCCCAATAACTAACATAGTGCAACTTTTATAGGTGGGTATTTGCTGGGGCTGTATCCCAACTTCTGTCCTTTGCTTCCTCTTTCATTAGGTGAGGAGGTAAATGGTAAACTTGGAAATAGAGAGCAAATGTTTCCTGCTCTGTATGGGAATGTACTGTTTTACCATGTGCTTTGCTTATTCAGTCATATGCTAGTAACATCTTTTCAAGTCAGAAATTCTTTCACTAACATAATTTTCAGTTTTCAGTTGCTATATAATAATCCATCAATATAATAGGTCATTTAAAAAAATCTATCTTTTGGAAAATTAAGACTCTTTTCCCATTTTCTTCCTAATATATATAATTTTGAGATTAACCTTTTTGTTTATTGTTGTTGTTTTTTTAAATCAGTTATTTTTAATTGCCTTTATATAGCTATTCAGAGAAGCAGATATATGATGAAAGCTGGTTGCCACCATTTCATTCTTTTGTGTGTCTTAATGGAATTGCCTTAAACATAAAGACTTGAACTTTGTGTTTTGAATTTGGTCCTACCACTAAACTGTATATCATCTGTGGAGTTCACTTCAAGTAGTCAGAAATGCAAGAGTCTCACCTAAACTCTTGATAAATTATATAGTCACTGGGGTACATTGATCAGAAACTAGGCTTGCTTATATTCTGATGCAGTTTCTTATTATTTTAGCCTGTAATAGGATTTATTCTGTTTGAAGCAAGCTTTCAAAAAATGTTAAGAGTATAATATTGGTTTTCGTGTTTCCCATGTTTTAAGTATTTTGCTTCTGTGATTTATGACTCTGCTTTGCACTAGCCTACAAGGATCAGGTGACTGATTTATGTAAGAAAACAAGATTGTGTGGGATTAACTTTTAATTTATGAAAGAACCTGTTAACAGAAAGCAAATTAACTCTTGTCAACAATACTCATAGAATACATTTTACTTTATTACAACTTTAAAGTCTTAATTCTGCCTAGGCATATAGGATAAGAAATTAGATAAATAACTATTGAAAGTGTACTTTTGCTTATTTTAAATTTACAGCAGTTTTGTGATTATTCCCTTGGTATATAGAGATTGTCAGCTTATATGATTTTAAGATAAAGTTTAGAAAAAGGTTGTGTTACCTGATACTGATCAGTTTATAAGGGAATTTCTCCTTTCTTTGAAGGTTTCTGATAATTTCCCACTTTATTTAACATGATACAAAGACATTGTAAGTAGTAGGAGCTTTGCCTCTCCCACTTGTGAAAGAAGAGAACAAAGGTTGTTTTCATACATTAAACCTAACTGTTCATCCCACAAAGAGTGTTTTTTAGGGGGAGCCTGGATGACTTTTTTAGTGCGGATATTAAATGCTGAGTTACCTCAGAGTTAAATATTAAAAGTATGAGGCAAATTTAATGTTGGTTAAACATTTACCTGAACTACTATTTAATATGTGCACATATTTTCTTATAAGCCGTTTCACTTTAAATATGTTTTTATTGTGTTTTGTTTTTTTTTTTTTTTTAGAGAGGGGAAGGGAGAGAGAGAAAGAAACATTGGTTGGCTGCCTCCTGCACGCCCCCTCCCGGGGATTGAGCCTGTAACCCGGGCATGTGCCCTGACTGGGAATCAAACCAGGATCTCTCAGTCCATGGGAAGATGCTCAGTCCACAGAGCCTCACCAGCCAGGCTAAGCTGTTTTGCTTCAAAACAGCCCAGGTTATCTTAATACGCCAAGTCAGGTTTATCTTACTTATGTTCATTGGGATGGGAGAGGAAAATAATCTTTTTAAGTAGAGCTACTGTGAAAAGTATTAGATAACAAAACCAAACTCTTCCTTGTAGACCAATCAATGCCTAATTTATTTTAAAACACATAATTACAGAAGTAGCTAAAGAATTTTTATTAGCCCCTAAATATTCCTGAGATTTTTCACTTTTTTTATTTCATTATTCAAATGAGTAATTATACATGTACTTTAAAATATGTTAAAATTGATTCTGTGAGTAGAAAAGTGGATGTATTAACTTCTGATCTTTTCTTTTTACGCAACTCTAAAAATTGAGTAATAGTTTTAAGTTATAATTATATGTTTCATATGAAAATGTAAATTTATGAATACTGTAACTGCATAAACAAATATCCATTTGCAACTGTGATATTGGTGTTTAATTGACAGTGAATCCTTCTAGCTCTAAATTGTTGGACTTGGGGTATTTATTTAGCAGAATGAGATCTGAAAGTGGGCAAGGTACCCTCTCAGCGTTGGGGTCTGATATGGAGAACTGGCACGAGGGCTTGAAGGAGGAATCAGCAGAAGCCAGGAGATGAAATTGAGAATGCCTAGGAAATGGGAGAAGCAAGAAGGCTGGGTACTAATTACCCTTTCTCCTCTTCCCTTATTCTGTTATTCTGCCAAAACTTGGACAAATGCTGGGAAGTCACTGGAAAGAACTTGCAATAGCTACCTTCCTTATTTCTTCTTCTTTCTTCTGCTTCTCAGCTTCTCCTTTGCCCCTGCTGGTAGCTCAGAGACCTGGGAGAGGCAAGTGCTGAAGTCCTGGAATGGAAACACCGGGTTTTGCTTCTCTCTTCCCTCTCCCGGGGCTGCTCTTCCCCTTCCCCTCAATATTCCCCCCTGCTAGAGAAGACTGGGTTGTTGAGAAATGGGGCAATAAATTTGAGGGGCAGCAGTGTAAAGAATGAGTGATTTGGGTGAATATACTGTGGAATTTATAACATCAGTGGAATAGGGAGAAAAGTAAGAGAAGAAAAGTCACTCATTGTAGTGAATAATAAGAAAAAGTGTCTGGGCACACCAGCTGAGGCCTCTCATCCAGCATAAGCTATAACTTAGTAAATGGATATTTTTGAAAATAATAGAATTTGGGGAGACTAGAGGGACTAGTCTCCTGAATTCACTTCATTAATTTATTGTTAGTCATTAAAATTTTCCAAATAATTTTGTTTTAGTGTGTGTGTGAAAAGATTTTCTTTAATCTCTGAAAACAAATTGCAAAAATAATTCTTATTCTCCAAAGTACTTTGTTTTCCCGTCTTTAAACCATTAGTTGGCCAAATACTTAAAAAAACAATAACACATAACTACCACGTGTTTCTGACTGTGGGTTGCATTCACAAGAAAAACAGCACACAGACTCTTTCTATTACATACATATTTTTGTAGTTAGAAGCTGGCCTTCTGGATTAGTACTGAGAAATGGTTGCTAAATACTGCAGCCGTTGGCTCGGAACTCACACTTCTTTTTTTTTTTTTTTATTCACTTGTATTTTGATCTGTGCATTGGCTCTCTATAAAGTTCAGCATTTAAAAAAAAACTGTTCCATGAATTTGTGTGGACTTTAATGGAAGTGACCCAAATATTTTATATTCTTTCCATCCTTGTCCTTTTTAGATAGGGAAGCAAAACAAAACTCAGTTCCTATAAGAACAGATTTTTTTTCTCAGTTTTTAGACATATGCTGCTATTCTTCCAAATATTGTTTATGCAATTTTTAGTCATGCCTTAAGCAGAAAATTAAAAATGTATTCTGTTCCAGGAGATAGGGCTCTTGTAACAGTGTTCCGTGGAGTCCTTTTTCCCCAGTTAGATATTTCAGCTCGATGGGGAAATGCCTTAAAGATTTTTCTTCTGTCAGAAAAGGTTAAAAAAACGCTTCATTACTAAATCCTTCTTTCCCTTGTTATCCTCATCTCAAGGGATATCATCTTTGAAGAATTCTGCCTTGCAAATTTGAAACGCTTAACAGTAATGAGGAACAAGTCTCAAAACAAACAAAAGCAGAAGCCCTCTCCCAATCATCATTTTTAGGATGACTATCCCTACAGCTTTCACTTGGCAACATAAACTGCCTTTTTTTCCTTTCATGTAGAAGATGTGAGTTAATTATCTGGCATATCAGATACAGTATGCTGCCAGTTCCTTGGGGAAAATGTAGCTTCAGCCTTAAAAATATGGCTGAGATGATCCAGTCACACCCTCAAGCAAAGTTGTCTGTCACTGATTGCTTTTCTTTTCTTGCCATAGTAACTAACTGGGGGACGACTACTCACTTTAAAGAGAGAATGATACAAACCTTGTATGTGTGTGTTTATGTATGTTTCTGGAAAGGTTTGTACATAACTGACTTCTAAACCGTAAACCTTTTCTGGTTTTATAATTGTGCAAAGATAAACCAAATGTGAGTACAGGGTATGTCACTGTAGGGAGGACACCATATTGGGAGTCAGGCCTTTTAGACAAGTCACTAACTGTGGAGAGCTAGCTGTTCAACAGTAATGCTCCCTGTCTGCTCACTCTGTTTCCGCCCTGGGCACCCACTCTGGTGTCCCTTTGGAGAGGAAGACAGGCATTCTTCGCTTACGTAGCTTATGGTTAATGTGTAAACTTTGCCAAATCACTTACATTCTGTGATACGGTTTCTTCTAAAAAATGAGATGCCTAAAGGTAGAGTAGTGAACCAGACAGACACACAGGGAGATAAGTAATGTGATGAGAGGTAACATTTTAAGTAGAGTGGTCTGAGAAGGCTTTATTGAGGAAGTGACATTTGGAGAAAGGAATCACAGATACGTATTTAGAGAAAGAGAATTCAGGTAGAGGAATCAGCAAATTCAAAGGCTCAGAGGTGAGAGAGTACAGTTGGTTCAAGCCAACAGCAGAGAGGCCAGCATGCCCAAGGAAGAGGCAGAAAGTGGGAGAATCACAGCAGGTGGGGAAGAGAGGGACTGGGGATCAGCCTGTAAGGTCCTGAATCTAGACCATTTATCAGGACTTTTGTTTTTACTCAAAATTGGTTTTGAACAGAAGAATCGATGTGCTTTAAGTTTTAAAATAATCACAGGTGCTCTATTTGGAATATTTGTAGAAAGAGATTATGTGGTTTCCCTTTTCGTTCTCTGTTTTCTATTCCTAGGAAATGTTTTCTGCCTAATTATATTTTTCCAAAAAGAGGATAAGTCTTTGCATGTTCACTGTCAGATCATAAAAGTTGGCTTAAGCCACTTAAGCTCATATTCACATTAAAAATATCCAGGAGAATTTCAGTAAGTGTATTAAATGATGGGTTGGTATATAATTGATAGTTTATATTATCTAGTTAATATGTTTTGTTTATGTTTTTAGCCTTGGGGCTCTATATTGCGGAATTGGAATTTCTTAGCTGTAACACATCCGGGTTACATGGCATTTCTCACATATGATGAAGTTAAGGCACGACTACAGAAATACAGCACCAAACCTGGAAGGTAGGGTTTTTCAGCATATTCTGTGGTGTAAAAAAATGAGAAGGTCTTTATGATTCACTCCTGAGTAAATCAATAACTCCCATGGGTGGAGGGAGGGAAATGCTAACAAACCTAAAAGATGCTTAAGTGAATCCTTTAAAATGATACATTGTACTTGTTTTGAAACTTAGTGTTCATACAGTGAAAAAAATGCTATGTAATTTGATGAACTGAGAGATTTATTAGGTCTCAGAGCTCTGATTTTCAAATTGGAGTAGAATATTAGCATATTGACTGTTTTCATGACAACTGTTTTTGTATAAAAATTGTATATGTATATTTGAATCTCAGATTTGTGTTCATTTTTTAAATTATTTTTCAAGACATTCATTTTGGCTCCACATAAAATAAATACATATAAACACATATAACTACATAAATATATGTAAGCCCATTGTTATCATCTAAGCCAATTTCTGGTCCATGAGAACTCCTTCATTAGACCTTATGCTTCTTTACAGCCACACAAATTGTTTTTATTTTCCAGATGATAAACTGAATGAGATTCACAGAGGTTGGCTGTTTGGTCACCCCATCTGACTGCCTGAGAAATCACACCTTATTAATGGCAAATCTGGGATGAGAAAATGTGTCATCCCTGGTAAATGCATTTCCCCACATGTTACCTAGAAATGCATCAGGCACACACTAGCCATTTGTGCCATGGCAAGTGGCACGCTGGGTACAGCAGTCATGACAGTGAGACCTGGCCTCACACACTCACATTTTAGTAAGGAGAGGCCATTTCCATGTCCACGAGTGCACTGATTTTCATATAGGGGTCATTTCATTTTAGGACGGAATTTGGTTGTTGTTTTAAAAATCTGACCTTTTTCTTCTAATATGATTTTTATTTGATTTGTACTGTAATGGTACTGGCTTGTCTTTTAACAAGGTCTTTCCAAGTACAAGCCACTACTATTGATTCCTTTCTTCTTTGTTATAATGAAAATTTCCCCGTTTTATATTTAACAATTTGTATGGTGTATAAAAAGAAGGTAGTGGGTGCAGAAAACAATTTAGCTCATGTTAAAGTCTTCTGTTAAGATGAAGGAGAGTTGGTTCTCACTGTGACCATGAGAGCAAGTCAGATATTTTGCACGTAGACAGTGGCTTCGGTGAGTCATTTTGTTCTATCCAAGGATCTCTCAAACCAGGATTTTCTGTAATTTTTACTGTCTAGATTGGTATCAAGGTATCTTTTTGTTCCTGGAGTATGATTTGAAAGATGTGGTATGGTTGGGATCATGCAGTTTCATCAATTTAACACTGAAGTTATTTGTGAAATTATCTTGTTTGAGTCTATAAATATAATACGGAAACAGAGTCCCTTTTATGTTCTCTCGTTTTATCTGGAGATGGTTAATGACAGTGTCAGAAGCAAAAGCCAGAACTTGTCACTATTGGAATAGTTCTCTTAATAAAGAGATAGTGCTGTCTGAAAAGATACAGTTTGCCCTGTAACAGTGTATTCTGCAGTTTGAGGTAAAGGTGAAATGTGTAGTCTGTGGTAAATTATACTATGTAAAGTGTGATGAGGTATTGAAATTTGTTTAGGAAAACTCTCTTAATGAACAAATCAAATAATTTTGATAAATATTTACTTCACAGAATATATCTGTTTAACAGGTCCTTTGTCTTGAAAGTGTTTCATTTCTTTGGCTTCATGGTAAAGAAAATAGTTGGACCTTTTCCAAGGACCTTTGGGTTCCTTAGTTTGTGCTTTATTTGGGATCCAACTGGCAGACATAAGTCTGTTTGGAATTTTTTGATCTGATTAAGGATGCCAATAATTGATAGGTTGATATTCTGTTTTCAGGCTGTCTAGAAGAATGTTTTTAAACTTTCTTGAGAAGTTCTTTTTAAAGGTTCTGTAATCAAAGTGAGGTTCTTAATATTTATAGGTCAGCTCTTTTGAACTCCTATTTAAAGATGGGTGGCTGGAATACTTGGAAGAAAAAGCATTATTTTAAAATAATAATACAAGTTATTTAACAACAAAAACTGTATACTTTTTATTATAAAATAATATATTGAATTCCACAGTAGAAACTAGTTCAATTTCTGTCTGAGATGGACAAATTAAATTTTTATTTGTGTATTATATTTTTACTTTCCAAAGATTATTTGTCATAGGTGTTTCTACCACCTGCACTTTCCTTTTTTAACCCACACCTGAGGAGATATATATATATATATATATATATTTTTTTTTTTTTTTTTCATTGATTTTAGAGAGGTAGGGGAGAAAAAGAGAGAAAGAGAAACATCGGTTGGTTGCCTCCATTATATGCCCCAACCAGGGATCAAACTCATAACCTGTTTATGCACCTGACTGGGAATTGAACCCAAGATCCTTCAGTGCATGGGACAGCACTCTAACCAGTGAGCACACCAGCAGGGCATCATCAGCTCTTTATACAGAGTGTCCCCTAATGGTGATGGCAATAGATCACTTGGTAGTTAACAACTTCAATTATTTTCTCATATAACTCTGGAGATAATGAAATGAAATGATCATTGCTTCTGTTAATAGATCAGTACAGAGAGAAATAAAACAGTGTTAAAATAGTTTAGAAGAAAGACATTTATATCAGAAATTCTAAATGATTCTGCTTGTTTTTTACCTTAAAAACTGAACAAATTGTATAGTCCTATATACATTTTAAATGTGATTAAACACAATTTCCTCATGTTTTACAGCTACATTTTCCGGCTAAGCTGCACTAGGTTGGGACAGTGGGCCATCGGTTATGTGACAGGGGATGGCAATATCTTACAGACCATACCTCATAACAAGCCCTTATTTCAAGCCCTGATTGATGGCAGCAGGGAAGGATTGTGAGTATGAGAAATGGCCGTCAGAGCATGTTCACAGATGTGAGAAATACAGGCCGCTTCGAGATGGAGAAAATGGATAGTGAGACTGTGACATGGTTGTGTTTTATTTCAAGACTAAGAAATGGATGTTCCTTTGTTTTTATGGTTATCTCTTAAAATAGTCATTTTAAGGTAACCTAATTATTTTAATTTACCTATATGTTATAGCAAATAAATTCCAACATGAAATGATAATGAGTTTACATCTTTTATAGGAAAAGAAGTTGCAACTTAAAAGTTGTGTTTTTAAAAAAAAATTTTTTTTTTTATTGATTTTTTTCAGAGAGAGAGGAAAGGAGGGAGAAAGAGATAGAAACATTGATGAGCGATAACATTGATTGGCTGCCTCCAGCATGCCCCACCCTGGAGATCAGGCCCACAACCTGGGCATGTGCCCTGACCTGGAACTGAACCAGCAACCTCTTGGTGCATGGGTCAGTGCTCAACCACTGTGCCACACCAGCCGGGCAAAAGTTGTTTTAAAATAGATGTAAAACTGTACATATATATAAATATAGGGGTGGGCAAAAGTAGGTTTATAATTGTGAGTATGTGAAACAGTTTGTTCTTGTATTGTTTTTTATTAATTATTTTGCATATGAACAACTGTATACCTACTTTTGCCCACCCACAAATTATAAACAACCTGATAAATCCTTTCACAGTAAACGTGTCTCTCATTCATTTTAGTCCTGTGCTACTTCCTCCTGCTGTATTTCCAGAGTCACTGCGTCACACTGACTTTATTCCCTCCGCCTCGCTGAGGAACTGGTAGATGTAGGTGACTTGACCTGCTGCAGTGGGGATGTGATAGAAACCTAGAGGAGGTCCACAGTCAGCAGAGAGAAAATGATGGTTTTACCTTTCCAAAAGTAATTGCAACAAAAAAGGAAGAAAAATAAATAAGGGATGGGATCTGTGTGAAGAAAAAGAATGCATTTTTTAAAGTTGTGAGCCTTCTAGAAATAATTATATAAGAATTGTATGGCACACTGTGGTGCTGTGTTCTTCTCTTTTTTTCTTAATTGTCATACATTTGCTATTCTCAGATATTTATACCTTACCACTAGGGCAGCAGAGATTTATATGTGTAGCTTTGATTCACTATGATTTGAGGATTTTTTGTTTTTTTATGAAAATGTGCTTTAAAGTTTTAATTTATAAATATAAGTTATGAGTGGGTAAATCTGTAATTTGATATAGCTTATTTATATTGTTACGATGCCTTTCATCTGTTTTTCAGAAGTCAATAAAAAGTAACAAATGTATTTGTAGTCAGTAGTCTAGCCTCTGAACACCTACATAAATTCACTGTTAATATTTACACAAACACACATACACATGCATCTTCAGAGGAAGTTGGGTGAGTTGAATTTGTACATTAGGGATAAATTACATTAAAAACAGTTTAGATTGGAATTTTAATCTGATAATCAGATCAGATTTTAGATTAGATTAAAACAGACAGCATTACAATAATTAGATAATTTTTTGTTTTAGGATCAGTAGGAACATGGGAAGGGTATCATCTGTCTAGTGCAGCTATCATCGGGGTCAGCTCTTCCTTCTGAAGTTTACTCCAGTATTATATCACATTGGTGGTACATTGACTGATAACCAGCCAAGATTCTTTATTCCTTCACCGCCTTTGCACCCTGGTTTCCTGAGGACAATAATCACTGAATTGCCCTTATGCATTAAATAAAGAGAACCTTTTAACCTGTTCTGACAGTCTTATTGTCATATTTGTAATCTTTCATTTATGACTTCTTCCTAGAATTTCTACGTGTTTTGAAGTGCAGTGATTAAAATATAATTTAAAAATTGGCCACTTTAGGGTATGAAAAGAAACACCAACTTTGGCTTATCACTCTTCATTTAATATTTGTAGAATTTTATCCCATCCCAATAATGACACTTTAAATTTGTATCATAGTCAAAAGAAGTAGTGAACTTCTTTTCCTAAATCTTACAAAATTTATCTCATTGATTTGTTCTTTACCATTTGAGAATTGTTTATTCTTTTATTTATTTATTTGGTTTTCCTGGGTAAATTTTAACACTAGAATATTTATTGACTCTTTATTTCAGGATAAATATTTTTCATTACTTTCACAGAATAGTTTTAGTATAGTTTTTCCTTTAAAATATTCACCACTGTAGTAGTATATTCTTATTTTTTCATTTAAGCCATCTAGAACAGAAAGATACTGAACAAAATTAACCATAACAATGAGTTTGACAAAATCCATCAGTAATACTGCCATTTAAAATACTATAAAATAGGTATTTACCAACACAGTAAACTTCATTTTTAATAATTTTCTTAGTAAAAACTGTTTTAGCACAGCAAGATGGCATTATTCCTATAACTTTAGAGAGTTCTTATTTCAATTCTCTCTAATAATGCAACCTCATGTTTATAAACCATTCTGTGTTTGTAGTTTGATTTGAAGTAAATGAAACATGGACTTGTAACACTTTCTAATTTCCTTAAATGTGGAGAAATCTTTAAACCATACAAATGTTAGAAAAACTTTTTGGGGAAAATTATGGGCTTTAATTCCTTTTTTCTTTTCTTTGTGGTATTAAATATGGTAGGAAATGATACATTTAACATTAACTGTGCTTCAGATGGAAGATGTAATTGTGAAAATATGTATATTCAAAGTCTGTTAGAATGGGAAGTGAGGGGCTCGTAAAATAAATGTTTAACTTACCTAACAGACATAGATAGTAAAGGTATTTATTTGAAAATGGTTGCTCAGTGGCTGAGTCCATATTCATTGTATATTTCTTTTATGAAAATGATTTCTAGATTTTAAATGATTTTAAAATAACAATATTATGGAAATAGTGTTAGAATAGGTTTCGATATAAGTTACATAAAAAGAAAATACCTAAATGTGTGTTTGAATATAGGAGAATATGATCAGGTAATCTAATTATAATTAAAATATATTTATAGTAGTACAATTTCTGTTTATAATCCAGCTACCTTTATCCTGATGGGAGGAGTTATAACCCTGATTTAACTGGATTATGTGAGCCTACACCCCATGATCATATAAAAGTTACACAGGTAAGGACAATTTGTGCAAATATATTTATAATTAATAAGTTTTATGATGCCTTTGACATAAATAAGATTCTCTACTTATACTAGAGCCAAAATCATGTACAGGCACGTAATGCAAAAGATACTTAAGGAATTCTAAGGGTGTTTGAAAGAAAAATACATTACATTTTTTATTTTTGAATAAAAATATTTGCTGGTGACGTTCTTGCTTCCAGTATAATTTTGTTATTTATTTGGGGATATAGATAGATAAATTCACTGGTAGGTATAAAATATGACAGAACCATAGGTTTAGGAAACTCCATAGCAGATTAGGATAAGTATACGCATCTCCTTTTAGAGTCAAATGAATAATGAGGCCTGTTGAAGTTAATAGTTGTATTATTAATCCATTATTGGCAGCCTCATAGATTATGAATGGGAGTGTAACTTGGTAAAGCCTTTCTTGAGAGTGATATTCAGTAATTATCAAAATCTAAAGAAAAATATCTTTGACTGTAGATACCATATATAAGTCACTTGCATATATACACAGAGGTCTATACCCCAGGTGTTCACTTTAGCACTTTTCATAAAAATGAAAACTTACAAAGCACTAAAATATTTTATCATGGGTTAAAAAAAATTATACCCATACTGCATTATCCTGTCCAGTCATTATGTAGCTGTGTGTACTCACATGAACTCTTCTGCATTTTGTGTAAAAATATTCCATTTCTGGGAAGCTTAATTATGTGACATTTCCTTTTATAAAATTACATATCTGTAAGTTTAATTTCTGTAAATAAAGAAATTACCACATATGAACATGTGAATATACTTTAAAAAAAAAATAAAACAAGAAACACCAAACCAGTAACAGTGTTTTTAACTGTGAAAGTAAAAACATTTGTGGGGAGTCTGGAAGAGTATGAAGGGATCATTTTACATACAATCTAGTTTTGAAATATGTTATATTTTTGTAATATGTATAATAAATAAAAATATAATTGAACACAAATTATAGGTTTGGGGGAAGACAATAGATAATTTTTAAAATTTTATTTCTAATTCCTTAGGTTTCAGTTCCAGTGGTCTTGATATTATGTGAAACACACCTGTTGACATATGTACAGTTTGTGGGCAGTTTTTAAAATTTAATATATAATTTTCATTTTTAAAAATTATGCCGTGATTCTGTACTATACAATATTTAAGTGTAAAATATTTTATATTTTATAAAATTCCTTTTTATAAAACCATTGTTTAAGACTACACATTCAGGAATAGTATCATTCCCTTAAATGACTCATGAATATTTGACTAGCTAACCCCTTACATTGCATTAAATTCTGCATGTAGGGTTTTAGCTTATGGTGATTTTTTTTTTTTTTTATCATTGCAAATTGGTTCTTTGGATATCCTAACCGACATAAATACTTATCTATCATTTTAGGGACTTCAGTGATTTATAACTTATTTTTGATTACTTTAGATTTCTTTTGTTCCATCTTGATCCATTCTCTTTTGTCCTTTTCCTTAAATTTTTGAAAAAATTGCTTATACAGTCACACATACATCCATTACAATAGATGTAATTTACATATGAATGTGTGTATGTGCATATATATGTATCTATGTATGTATATATATAAATATATCTTTTAGCAGGTTAGGGATTAAATATTGTCATTCATTTATCCTACCCAGTAGCAGGTACATAGGCATGTTGTAATTAGAACATTGTCTTATTTAAACAGATTTTCTGTTATTACTTTGTTTGTATCTTTATTAAATAGCACTTTTTTTTTTGGTATTTTCTTTACATTTGCCAATAATTTGTATCTCCTTTGTGACAGATCTTTTCAATGTTTGAACACTGAAATTCGTACTCTCAAAAGGTTCTAACCTTGTAAATTAAGAGTAAGAGTTTTAATGAAACAATTTCTGGTTGCCAAAGTGTTTAAGGTTGGGAAAGAGTATGCGATTTAGAGTTGGAGATTTAATACAGAATTGGAGAAAAATGTAAACTTATTGAGCCTCAAGTATTTTTAAAACTTCAGTTTATCTTAGTATGCTTTGGAAATTATGTGACAGAAGTGGGCCATAGTACCTACCGTGCAGGAAGGGCTTGGCAAATGCCGCTTTTCTTCCATTCTGGAATTTCTATAGATATCTAAGAAAATAAATTTAATGTTCAGCCAGAATTATGTATATTCATATATTTTTCTGTAATTGGACAATAAAATTAGATGAGTATGTAGCATTTACAAAGAAAATAAAGTTAATTATATTGCTTTTTTAAACCGTAATTTTGTCTTTTGTATCACTGTGACTATTGAAGCAAGTCCCTTTCTAAAGAGATAGTATAAATCGTTAAATAATCCAAAGTAGTCAAAGAGCTTATACAATGGCTGATAAAAGTGCAAATTAAAAAAATAAATTATTTTGTAGGCCAGATTATCATTACCAATTTAAAACATGTCTCAAATGGCAACATAATCCTGACAGGATCAAGTGTGAGGATGTACTACTGTAAGTTACTGTATTTGAGAAAATTCAGTATTAACAGTTCATGCAAGAAATACATTAACATTACCCTTTTCCCCCCAAATTCCAGGAGCAATATGAATTGTATTGTGAAATGGGCTCCACTTTTCAGCTCTGTAAAATTTGTGCTGAGAACGACAAAGATGTCAAGATTGAGCCTTGTGGGCATCTGATGTGCACCTCGTGCCTTACAGCGTGGCAGGTATAGCAAGGTTTGATTCGCAGTGGGGATGTCTTCCTTATATTCCCCATCCATATTTACCTTTACAGTCTTCTTCATCTCAGTAATTCAGGAAATAATATTGATAAGTGCTCTGTTTGATTATTTGTTTTAAAAAAATCTCTTGTGTTTGAGTTTATTTTATTTATATAACTTGAGTTTTTGCTGTGCTTTATATATATTTTTTGCATGTATTACTATATTAGTCATAAGTAGCATACTTCTGTAACACTGTTGATTTCGGGGTTAGTTATCCCTATTTCCAATTAGCTACATTTGCATGATTTACTGTAGGTCAGATTCTAAAGCAAACTCCAGTAGGTAAATCATCTGATATTTCAGCCACACCTCTTCTCCTGAGTGGGTGTGGTTTCTGTGTCACATATGTCTGGTTGCTCTGTAGGGCTAACATAGGAAAATCAGACAAGAAATGTCTCCCAAATACCTATAGTCCCCACAGAAACAGCATTACATTTTTTAATTTATAGGAGCAGAATCTAAGATAAACTGATTTCTCCTGTCTAAGCAGATGTTCAGTAAACATAGATTGATCTGATATTTGGATTAAGATCTAGAGAATAACTGGTTTCCCCAAGGGCTTTCTTATATTTCTGTATCTGTAATAAAGGGTATGGTTTTAAAATGGCTCTTTGGACAGATTTATAATTTTGGGCATTTGGAAGATTCTCAGAATATTTTGATCAAGCCTTTTTTTTTAACTGCTGTTCAACACAGCCTATATTGACATGAATATTGTTGAGGGGATTTAGTTGGAAAGGAAATAATTAAATTTCAAGCCTTAAAAAAAAAAATTGCGCTTGAGTATATGCTTGGCATCCCTCCTCTGTTCCCGAGCCCTCTCTGTCCTTGATCTTTCCTCCACCCAGTAGCTCTGTCTTGCCTGAGGAAGAAGGGGCACTGCACACCTGAGGAGCCCTGATGCCTGTTGAGTTCATTACTTGGTGATAAAATATAATGATTTTCACCAGTTCACAGTCTTATTAAAAGGGCCACCTCCTTCCTTTGGGGATACTTAAAAAATGGATGAAGAAACAGAGAAAGGACTAGGAAGTGAATTACAATTGAGTTACATTTTCAAAGCCATCTCTTCACTCTTGATATCTTTGTGAACTCAGTAGATATTGTTCAGCATTCCTGTACTTCTCTCTTTCAATATGCATTGGGGTTATATTTTACTCTAGTGTTTCCTTGATATCCTTGCCCTGATTTCCCTTCATTCCTTCGTGATGTTGGTGAATTTTACATAGTATAGGAGCAGTTGCAGGAAGAGGGATGCTCAGTATGGTGTCAGCAAGTTCATTCTCAGCTACTTATGTTAACAGTAACAGTTTTCAGACTTAGAAATGTCTTTTTATAAATGACTTTCAATAAGTTTAGTTAAGTTGGTAGAAGACAAAACTTTGCAAGTGGGTCAAATGTTAGCAGTAGAGAGTATTATACAGATGGTATTGACTATGCCGCACTGACTGGGATGGGATTGCTGTAGGGTGCTTTGCTTTACCTGATACCCATTCAGTATTTCAGGGTAACTGTTAAACTGACAGAGGCCAATTGTGTATGTCACCCTTTTGGATTGACTTAGCCTTGAGTGTGATAGTATGGTGCTCACAGGTACGAAGAAACTAAAGTTTGCATTCCTTCCTAACGAAAATCAGAATTTTAGGCTGGACCCAACTCACAGAACTCTCTGCCTCCATGGATAACCTGTGCATTTCAACCTTTGCTTGGAACCCAGGTCTTGGAGCATGTACACACACACACACACACACACACACACACACACACTGCGGGACTTAGCAGCTTGAACTTGATACTTATATTTGGAAGTTAAGTGGGTTAAAAGTTAGAAGCTCCTGTTAGTTTGGCAGATACCTTTGATGAATAACAATTATTTTTAAGGCACTGTACAGAATAGCTATTTACCTGTAGCCTAGGGTGAATAAAAGAGTATGGCTGGAGCCCTGGTCAGTTTGGCTCAGCGGTTAGAGCGTCGGCCTGTGGTACACAAGAGACCGGGGTTCGGTTCCCGCTAAGGGCACATAACTCGGTTGCAGTTTGTCCCCGGCCCTGGTTGGGTTGTGTGGGTGGCAATCACTCGATGTGTCTCTCTCACATCGATGTTTCTCCCCGCCCCCCACTCTACCTGAACAAAAAATGGAAAAATGTCCTCAGGTGAGGATTAAAAAAAAAAAAAAAGAGTATGGCTGGATATAAAATTTAATATATATTTACATATATATATTTAATTTTACTTTCTATATACTTCTTGAAAGAAATACATCTTTAAGAAATTTAGAGCCAATACCATATATTTTATTTAGTAAGTTTGTGAACTATTTGCAGTAGGTGTGTTACGTATGAAAGACATGGGCTGTTTCCCAGTTGTCATTTTTATTCTTTGCCCTTCACATTGCCACAACTTTTCTGTATATTACTGTGCATTCTCCAAATGGTGCAGTTCCTCTTGCTAGTAGCTGTTCAATTCCTTGATTCACTTCATGATTTTTCATGTTGGCCTAATGGCCTTATATGAGGATATGCCCAATCATATTCATAAATTGTTAATATTAGCTATTTCTCTGTTTTACTCTGAAGTACTTTTCAGTTTTACTTTTAGAAATTGAGGAAGTACACAAATTGCGGACCACTGAAAAGAGTCAGAGTAAAATTTTAGGAGAAGCTATATCAAAAACTAGTGACAAAGTAGTAGTTTACTAAGTGAGGTAGTAAGAAAAAATGACAAATTCAGATGTACTTAGAGGTTGAAATAATAATCAAACGAAATCACATTCATAGTACTAGTGATTAAAATTATTAACATCTTACTTAATCTGATCAGAGAATTTCGCATATAGATTAATGAAAAATATGCTAAGGAATTTTTTCAGCATTATTTTTTAATTCCTCCCACATGAGACAGTTCATGATTAATAAACATTTTTCTGATATATATTCCTGTGAGCTCTTATTTTATTGTATTCATATTATAAACATATATTACCTGTTTTTCCTTTGGAGTGTGGATCGCTTTGCCTACTTTAGAATTCTTTCCACCCAGCGAGCATGCCACCCACCTACACATTGGTAGTTACTTAATAAATACTTATAACTATATGCTTAGATTATGTAAAGGAAAGAGAAAAAGAAGACTAAGATTACATTAAATAAAGACATTCATACTGTAGATCAATGGTATCTTTTCAAAGAACTTTTATCATACTCAAGATCTCAGGAGGGATCCTAAGAATTATAAACCAAATCCATTCAGTGGCTGGGTGATTCCCATCAACTTTTCACATTTTGATTTCTTCCACTTACATTTGAGCCACATTATTTTACTAGCAATAATACTGATACTAACCTAGAAGCAGTAAGATCGAGTTTCTATTTATTGCCTTTTTATACCAGGAAACATGCATCATGACCCTGAGTTCAGGTTTTCTCTATCCTGCAGAAACTTGTTCTTAGGCCAAGGTTTGAGAATTCCAAATCAATATTCCATACATAGTCTGTGTATCTCAGTAGGATATTAGTGTCAAAGACGCTCAGCTATTGAACATTTCTACTTTTGAGTAACCTGACTATTTCTACATTTACATATGGATTTCACACCATGGTGCTTCCTGCGAACTAACAGATCTGTTTTGGCAGCTTTCATATTGTTGTATGAACAGCAGTGTTTGGCAGTCATTTAAACGTGTGATTGCAAGATGCCCGTTATTAAATAAAAATAAAAGTCTTATAACGTTAATCCAGTTGGCAAACAAGAGATATTCTAAAAATCCTTACATTGTTAGCCTCAGTGAGCTGCTCATTGGACTGATCTAATTGATGGTGAATATGAGACCAAAATCATTAAAAATTTCCATAGTTCTGCAACGTGTTGTCAAATGCTGTATCTAAACTTATAGATATAATGAAAAATATTAGAATTAACTCTCTGAATATGAGTACATGTAGCTAAAATATGTCTCTCTCGCAACTTTCTTCTTACTGGAAATGGTACAGGGCTAGAGCTCGTATTTTCTGACTTTAAAGCCAGTGATTTTGTTTTATATGCTTATTTGTTTCTTCTGTGGAGAAACAGTTACATTTTTAAACTTAGTCATGCACAGGAATAATTTGTTATTTTGCTTCTTCTAACTAGTTTGGTAGAAGCGGACATGGATTGTTTCATCCATCATTCTGCAAGATCTCAAATCCATTCATTCATTCATTCATTCTTTCACTCACTCACTCATTTATTTATTTAGGAAACACTGCTTAAGCAGCTGCCATGTCCAAGTTCTGAGTTGATCTCTGAACTAAGAGGGACACTACCCTCGAGAAGTTAAAATGAAATTTGTTAAGTTTTATAAAGGGGCAGGTTATTAATAATTACTTGAAATGAACATCCTGTTATCCTTCAAATTTAATTATGGATCTGAGATATTTTGTGTTTCTTTCTATTAGCTCGGTTGGACATGGTGATATGGAAAGGATTTTAAAGGCTGTGTGTCTGCTAGGAAGCGCTGAAAAATCAGTCCGAGTCCAGTAGGAAATACTAAACTCTGACCATAAAACATTATGCCACTGTGAACTTGTAGCAAGTCATTCTTCACCAGCTTTTCCTTCCATTTGATGCCCTACTTTGGTTTAATTGAAATTCATTGGAGACTTAAATTTTCTGTAATTAACAGAAACCCTAAGAAAGGCTCAGTGGTAGTGTCGGCTGTTACAGGCTGCAAGCGGTTACTCTTTAATTGCTGTCATAATGGCCCATTAGTCATGCCTCCGAAGAGGTGTTAGATATGTCTTTCTCCTTCTGAAACATCTGTGTTATTGAATAAATTGAATAAGCAAGCCAGAGTTTGCACAGAATACTAAATAAGTGCATAATCACCTCTCCAAAGGCATTCTTTGAAACAATATCATGGTGGGTGTGGCATTTTTGTTCCACCCTAGCCAGCAAAACGTGGAGG